TTCCTACAAGGAAAGGACACACCAGCATTGGTTGGAATCTGTTCGTGGACAAGGATGTCAGTGGTGATCCCGGTATCTGGAAAGCAGACGGAAAGAAAGACAGTGGAGAAAGTGTTGAAATGGGTACACAGTCTTGGACACTTGGAGGAAGTCGGATTTGTTGGAGATTCGGAAGAGGCAATGTTATCTCTTATAGCTGCAATCGTGGAAACCCGGACGAAGATGAACCGTAAGACGCACGATCAGAACAGCAAGCCGTATCAGAAAGGAAGAACGGCAAGAGTGGAAAGGTTTATCCAGACGGTGAGGAACCAAACAGTTTGCTTGGTACGAGCAGCCGAAAGAAAGCTTGGTAAAGAGATTCCCGAAGGCCATGCAGTGTGGGCCTGGGGACTCTGCCATGCGTCATGGTTGCTGAACAGGTACCACAGACACGCCGCGATAGGGTCAACCCCTTACGAAAGTGTCGTTGGTAGACCTTACCTTGGGAAGATCGCCCCATTCGGCGAGTATGTGTATGCGCTGAAGAAACCCGAGAAGAAAGGAACAGCGAACTGGATTGGAGGAATCTATCTTGGTAAGAACTCTCAGGATATGCACTTGGTAGGAGTTGAAGACGGAATCTTGGCAACAGGACCTGTAAGGCGAATCGCCACTGGATGGAGAAAGGAACCAGTATTGAAGTTGAGTGTAACTCCATGGAATCCCAAGAAGCCAAAAGGAACATACACCAGACAGCCGTTACCAGCCCCAGCGTTAGCCAGTATCGCAGAAGAAGTATCGGCACAGGAACCAGTAGTTCGTGCGGAAGACCGAGGACAGTCCCAAGAGGAACAGGTTGAGGAACTGTTGGATCTGCTGGACACAAGTGGAGCCTCAAGCGGAGGCAGGGCCTCAAGCGGAGGCAGGGCCAGCACAGGATCTAGTTCTCACTCCCGGAGTTCAAGTTCAATGCACGATGTACCTCCCGGAGAACCTGAAGAACGTGTAAGCGACGATACTATGCTGGAAGATCTACGGAAGAGAGCCGTAGAAGGTGGACAAGAAGTCGAAGGATCTCCTAAGAAGTCACGAGAAATGCCATCAGCACCATCATCGCCTTCAAAAGGAATCTACCCGCCTTTGTTCGCAGGCAGGGTATCTCAGGAAGATGACCCCTTTCACTGGGATGAACATGAGGATCTCACGGCAGTAGAAGGAGAAGACGTGGAGTATGAAGATCTCATGGAAGAAGAGATGGAAGAAGTTCCAAAGAATGACCAAGGGGAAACGCCACCGGAACTAAGTCCAGAGGAACTGGATACCTTGGATCAGGAAGCAGCGGTGGAAGAATTGAATCGCCTTAGCAAGCTAGGAGTAATCGAAGAATTCATGGAGGCGAATGCGACAGGTGATGAGAAGCGTATGGATTTGCGCGAAGTCTACGACTGGAGGCATCGTGACGGACGTTGGAAAAGGAGGTGCCGGATAGTGGCAAGGGAGTACAGGGCAGGTGCGAGTTCAACGGCTGAGACATTCAGCCCAACGGCAAGCAACTCCGCGTCGCGCCTAGTCTTGTTGTTACATCTGGTGTACAACTGGGTCGTAGTTGTACTAGATATAAAGGACGCGTACCTTCAGGTCCCGCAACAAGAAGAGGTGCTAATCACAATCAGTGATTGGATGAAGCGAGCCGCGAACCTGAAAGAAGGAATCGTGTGGAGGCTCAAGAGATGCCTACCCGGTCAAAGAAACGCAGCGACAAGATGGTATGAACACTTGCGGAGTATACTGGAGAAACTTGGATTTGTGTTCTCAGTACATGTACCCGCACTAGCTAGACACACCACAAGGAAGCTGTGCATTTCTATCAGGAGACAAAATCGACATAAGCATAAGCAATCTAGTACGGATGCCAGTAGGGAGCATTAAGCACAGTCCCATTCTGATGAGTAGTGCTAGTGGCCGATTGTTTCGTGTCTTTGAGTGTAAACCATCAATGGTCGTAGACTGTTCGTGGTCAGGTCTCTTGCAAAGAATCCGACCCTATAGTTTCGATTGCAATCTGGTGCACACTGCTCTGTAGCCGTACTCCGTCGGACAAGCAGCCCAAGCAGTTTTTCGCACGGGGCGCGCAACTCTGAAGAGCTTCGGACTCGTGAAACAGCCGTTTGATTAACATGACGAGACCAATCGATTTTGCCGCATCGATATGTTCCGCATGCAAGGGGCCTCGTATCTTGATACCAACATATGCGGATCGCATTCCGTGGGCACCCTGAACAACACAGGATAGCATATCTTTTCCGTTTGCGCAGAAGATTGGAACAGGTTTGCAACGTGCTTCAATTCAACTTGCTTTCGCATCGGACACGATCCTTTGACCATGGTTTTGCGACATGCTTGATGCAGACATGAGCGGACCTGCGGGTTCCAGCGCACGAATGTTCAGGCGCATGCTTCCATCCAGCGCAGCTCGTTCAGTGCCAAAGGTTTCCTGCCCGCTTGTGCCTTGAATCCACGCCGTCATGCCGCCTAAAGGTACCAAAAGGGCAGTGTCTTCTCACAATGTTGGTGCGAAGCGAACCAAGATGGGAAAGGACATGCAGGCGCTCGTCGAGAAGGAGCGTGGGCTGCAGTGGCAACAGGATCTCCAGTGGGTGACCCAGCATTTGAACGAGAACCCGGAGAAGCTTGCTTCCGTGGTCGCTGTCCTGAAGTGCGAGGGCCCGGCCAGCTTCAACCCCGACATGCAGATCTCTCCGGAGTACCTGAAGCGCTCGTTCACAAGACTTCCCACGAAGTACTTGCTCGAGTTCTTTTCCAGGTACGAGACCTTCGATGTGGACACCTTCAAGAAGATCGTAAAAGGAGACGCGAAAATCCTTGCCAAGGTGTTGCAAAGGCTTTGCGTGCTTCCGAATTCTCTCACAATTTGGAGTCACGAGAAAGCCGTGCTGTCCGCGGCATTCCACGGCCGCATGAACAGCTTGGGCATGTCACCGGATTGCATTCAGCTACGAGACGGTCCAGAAGTTGATTGGCAAGCTTCCGGACTCTACCAGTTCCGTCCGCATTACGACCCCGCGGCTGCCAATGCCCCCAAGCCGCATGACCACATCTACGAGGAGATTACTTGCGGTGACTTGGTTGCTTCCTTGACGGGCTTCGTTGTGGTAAGGGCCACCTGGAAGGTCCACAGCAATTGGTCGCTGCAGGATGCAACCCTCGTGTGTCCGGACCGCAACGACTTCCAACCGAAGTGTGTCAGCTTCTTTCAACAAGCAGGTCTCGATGACAGCTTCATGGCCGAGAGTAAATCTGGTGGAGTTCCTCTTGTCCCTGCACCTTTGAGCCAGCCGAAGCAACTTTGCTTGGAGGATGACAAGCTGTCTACACCAACTAAGAACTCGACGGCACGTGCGATCAAAGATGATAGCCACGCCGACGATGGTTCCACGACTACTCCGGCGAAGAGTCCGAGCTCGGTGGCTTCATCATTGTCGCCTTCAAGCCCGGAAGCTGATTCAACACAGCATGCTGGCCCGCCTGTGGCGCCTCCCAGCAAGGCCGTGCTTGCACAGAAGCGTTTGAGATCGAAGGTTAGCGTCAAGTGATTGGTGGCCGGGGGCTGTGCATTGCTTTGTCTAGAGTTTCGTAGTTGTTCCTTAAAATCATCAAAGACCCGTAGCAAAGACGCGCTGCCTTTTCCGGCCAGCAGTGCCAGGGGTAAACGGCACAAATCTTGCTTGTACCACTGCATTCTCCTCACAAGTTTCCCTGGCTTTGCCGTCTGGAGTTCCGAGCACAACGGCCACTGGTTTATCTCGAAGTGTGTCAGTTTTGTGCGATAGGTTAGGTGGGATTGGTGTTGTGCGCATAGTAGGGTAGCAGGTTCATGTGCGATAACTGGTGTGTGGTAGGGTTGCCCTAGTCGTCAAGCATGTTTTCTGTTGTGTTGGGCTCCAGATGTGCAGGCTTGCGAGCAAGCTTAAGGTTGAGAAGGGCGCTCGTTGGCAGCAGCAGTGTTGGGCAACGCTTGGGAAGACTGCTTTGAACACCGGCCGTAGTCGTAGCAAAATTTGCAAGCCAGAACACCAGAAACATCTTATCTTGTTGTAGACAAGCCAAAACTTAAGCCTTAAACCCTGCACCTTAAACCTTAAGCTGGCATAGCTGAACAGTCTTCGGTCACCAGGGTGCAGTCTTCTTTGGCCACGATTCGGCTTGAATCTCGGGCAGGCTCATACATACTGTGCTGCACAGCCGTGAAAGACAGACATGGAGAGCAGTAACTTATTAGAGAAAAGCGCGGACATCGTGACCGACTGCTTGTCCCTTCGCAGGAGTTAGCTTGCTGGAGTTTGCTGTGTAGCTGAGGTCTCTCACCCCAAAACAACAAACAGAGTCGCAGCATTCGGCCAAACTGCTCTCGCTGAGGTGCGGCTGGGGCAGGAGGGATGGGGACATCTGGCGTTTGGGGGGGTGGGGGGGCTCACGCAGGAAAGATTCACTACAAATCGGGCAGGAAGGTGAAAGGAGGGGAGGGGGGGGGGGGGTAAGGGGGGGGGAGGGGGGGTTGGGGAGGGGGAAGGGGAGGGGGAGGGGGAGGGGGTGGGGGGGGGCTTGGGGGGGGGAGGAGAAAGGGTGAGAATTGGGTTTGTGGTTGGTTTTGGCGTCAGTGTGAGCCGCCCACCACCACTTCCTAAGTTCCGGCCCAGTCCCACCCAACCCCCCCTTCCTGGCCGCGAATTGGGGGGGTTGGGTTGGCTCATTTTTGAGTGTGTGGCAAGTCTGGCGAGTCAGGAACCTGCTTTGAGTTGTTGAGTTGCCTGCACAGTGCCTCTTCATCGCATATTCAGGCAGCTGTGCCCGAGCATGCTGCGCGGCAGCGATCTGCAGAGCAAGTGCCATAGACATGGTGGCATGTTTGAGCACAAGCAACCTTGACAAAACGTAGACGTCATTCTTGTTGTAGGCTGTAGCGTCTGCTGCCGCAGCCTCTCTGTTTGTATCCTGCCATGTCAGAGTCTTGTGTTGGCCAGCTTCTCTTAGAGTGGGATGCTGCCTGTGGCCGCCGCTCACAGAAGAGAAGTTTGTGCTAGCATCAGGCAGTTGGAGGTTGTCCCAAACGCAGGACGGGCACTTCTATGTAGCCAATGAAGTGACCAGCCATTGGTGTGAGGATCTCATGAAAAATGTGCTGCTGAAGCATCCTCGGGCGGGGCGGCTCCAGCATCCAGGTCCAGCAAGTTCGTGGAAGCATCAGTCCCGGACGGGGCCGGACCAGAAACCGAGGTCGGAGCAGCAGGCTCCATGTCGGCATCAGCGTCAAGGTGGGGCCCAGGGCCTTCGAGGGGAGAGGAAGCCTTGGGTGCTAGGACCTCAACCGAAGTGAGTGCAGTAGCCCGCAGAACCCTGAAGGGGACCCCAAGAGCAAGGCACTGGGGGAACCACTGGGGCAGCAGCAGAGGCAGGAGGGGAACCCTGGGGCCCAGAGAAAGAGGAACCTTTAGAGAAGAAACCCCGCACCCAAGGAAGCGCACACGGCGCTACGAGCTTTTTTGGCGCGGCGCCCATTCGGAGGGTCACGTGACCGTGGCATTGGCTGCACTTCCAGGACGGCCCCTGGCGCACGAGGGTGTGCGAGGGGTGAGCAGCAAAAGGCACAAGCGGATAGATGTAGCTTTGGCCCTCGCCCGAGTTGCTGCACCAGAGTTCTTTCCCTGCTTCCTCCTGGAGCAGACCGTTTCAGGGAGCAGGCTCTTGTGGAGCTTGAAGGATTTGTACGAGCAGGTCATCGGGAAAGGTGCGGCCATGACGGCGTCACGATGGATGAACTCTTGGTGGAGTTGGTGGGTGAAAACGTTGGAGGCTCACGGCGTCGGCGTCACAGAGGCCCATCTCCGGCGTGGCAGCAATGGAGCAACCCGTGAACTCACTGAGTATCGCATTTTCGAGGTTCCTTGCATCAGCACGGTCGCCTTGCTCCTGCTTGTGACGAAGTGGTCCGGGAAATCCAAGTCTGGAACCACGAAGAACCCTCAAGCACAGACCGCTTGGGAAAACGTCCTGAAGGCACTGGTGCAAAGGTGCCGGCAGGAAGAGGATTGGGACATGGCCGTCTACTTGGACACGGCAGTGGAGTGCAAGGTGGGCTTTCCGAGCAAAGGCAACCGTCTAGTGAAGTTGCCTGTTCGGCGAGGGCAAGTGGACATGTCTGCTATTTTGGATTGCCAAGATGCCGGCGTTCATGCCAGTTTGTCCAAGCTGACACCCCAACCTTGCACAGTCATGGGCCTGCCTCAGTGGTTGCAGTTGCTGGATGGCGGTGGCCGAAAAATGCAGTGGCTCTTCAAGCAAGTGATCAACCTGCTAGCCGAACGTTTGGAGGCGAAGGTGGGCGCGGAGTTCCAGGCCGGGGATACAGCTGCCGGCCGACAGGCAGACATGGGCAAGCAGGATTTGCTTGCAGATGCCGAGGTCTTGATGACGCCCGCGGAGGGGCGAGCGTCACGGAGGCGGAATAAGTTCGCAGCTGGAGTTCGCTTGAGTCTGAACATGACCTTGCCACGCACCGTGCTGAAGTATTTCTACGCAAGGCGAGCTCGTCTGCGCAACTGTGACGTCTTGCATGTGGCCTTTGACGCTTCTCGAGTCGGGGGGTGGCAAGCTCTCATCGGGTTTGCCACAACTGGTTCAGGTTCGGCGATGTGGCTCCCGCCGCAGGCCCAAGTGTGGGAGAAACACATGATATGCTAAATAAACTTCGGTCTTGGCGTCATCTTAGACCGCGGACATCCACGATCTAACGCGCGGACATCCATGCTAAAAGCTTCTCCTTAGCCGCGTTTTGTGTGGGTTTGAGGCACATAAGCTTTTTTTAGGCTCCGGCCCTAGGCGCGGACGTCCGGGCGCAAATTCGGAGGCTGCAGGTGAAGTTAGATGACTTTTGCGAGCTTTTCAGCCGCCTAAATCCCCTGCGCCCGCATGCCGTCAAAGTGTTCTGCTGCGCAGGTGGTGCCGGACCTGGTGACGAAAGCCACGCTGGCCTTGGAGCATGAGGAGGAGCAGGAGCTTGCGGATGCACGCAATGAGTACAAGGCGATGGCGTTGGAGTTCTTTCAAGACCCAGGTAAGGCTGCCCAGAAGCCGCGCAAGCTGCAGCGCACGAAGGTGTGGTCCTGGCTGCGGAGCACTCAGCATGCTTTGCGGGTTGGCACTGGTCGTGGATGGGAGCAATGGCGCGTGAGTGGCCCGCCACAGCAATGGCCCAGCGTGACATTGACCATCGACCAGGGGGGCGACGGCTGGAGTGCAGCTCACTTCTTGGCCAGCGAGGGCTTGAACATTTTGATCCTTGGTGACGTCAGTCACCGAACGTGGAATGATGCTCAACTCGCCTTGAAAGACGTCGGATTGAACTGGCTTGTGTTGGCCACCATTTGTTTGTTCAATGCGGACTCTGGTCCCTGGATGACGGAAAGGTGGTGGGCCAGCCTTAAGCAGGCCAGTGAAGAGTACTTGTCTATGGCTTCGGCGAAACAGGACCCTTTGTACCAAGCCTTCGAGGTCCTCATCGCTGAAGAAACGGCGGCAGGGGACAAGCTCGCGATGTGTGAAGCAGACGCCGAGGAGCTCTTCAACCACTTGCCTGAGACCGTCGAGAAGAAGCAGCCGAAGGTTGGTATGAGCAGATGGTTTCAATTCGTTGTGACGCTTCGGAACTTCTTGCCGTCACGAGCTAAGCGCCTGGTCCTGCAGCTTTACCTCTCCATCTCGCTAGGTCTCTTCAAGACTGGTCGCGCAAGTGAGCTGCTCAAGTTGCCAGGAGCCTCTCAAGGAGGAGATGCCGACATTGCCAAGACCAGCACGTCCCGGGATCGTGAGGATGTGCAAAAGCTACGTGCGCAGTGCGGCAATACGCTGGCCTTCAGCACTGCCTTGCTGGCGGACCATGAGCTCTGGCATCGATTGCGGATCATTGCCGAGGTACTGGCTCCCGTCCAGCAGTGGCACAGCTGGCAGAACAAGCTCAACAGATCTGCGCCGGAGAGCGTGGATTTCTGGAAGCACATGGCGAGCGAGTCGTGCTTCGACCATGTCAACGCGGTGCTGGCGAAGCTGTCCGACCTCGACTTGCTTGGTTCCCTGCGAATGGCAACGTGGGGGGGAATTGTCGCAAGTACTGCGCCAACTCCCTGCTGACGACCCTCGTGTGCAGATGCAAGATGATTTGGCGCAAACACTCGGCAGTTTCTGTCTAGCAGTTGCAGGCCGCCGCTTGCGTTCCTTGGCTGAAATGCGAGACTATCCTTACCGATTCGCAGCTTTGCTGGGTCCGGATGCTGGCACCACCATGAGCCAGATGAAATCCGATTGGGAGGCCTGGGCTCACATTCAAGGCGGCGGAGCTGTTTTCTGGAAGCGCATGAAGGACAGGAGCTGCTTCAATCTGAAAAAGGTTCAGCAGGTGTTCCAATTGGCCCAAGCGGCCCAGTGGCGAGTCACAGACGAGATCGTGGACATCGTGAAGAAGGATTTTTCTGGCATCACGCAGACCAAGCTCGTTGAGGATGGAGTGAGGGCTGGACGAGTGGCCGAGGTCAACAAGGGCTTCAACAAACGGGTGAAGCCAGAGAGGTTGTACGACCAGCTGGTGAAGGGTGATGTCGCTTGCGAGAAGCACCGCTTCCCGAAGCTGGACTTTGCTAGCGCAGTGATTCCGAAAGGTGTTGAGTCCAAGTCCTCGAAAGGACTTTTTGTGCTTCCCCCGAAGCAAACCCCGGAGGAATTCCGAAAAGTCGTGAGCACGAAGACGTCTGCTGATTATCACTCGCCTGCGCCGCTGAAGGGCACACAGTCTTTGGAGGATCTTGAGCTAACGAAATGGTGCACGCAGCAGAAGCAGCTTCACTTGGCACCTGCTTGTTTTCTGTCCATCCTCGTTGCGCCCTACAAGATCATCATGCGAAACAAAGCTTTCCATCGCGGTGCCTGGTTCTTAGCGCTGAAGCAGTTCACAGGTCTGTCTGTCTTGGCTATTCCACTAGACGAATGTGTTCACGAAGGCAAAAAGTACTTCATGCTGCAGAAGATCCGAATGCCTTATTGGCTGCCCATCGTGGAAGCGACGGCGTGGAGTTGCTGCACCTTTGTGTTCAGAAGTCCGCTTGGCTTGAAGGTGACGGCTGGCAAGTGGCATCAGGCGCCTGGTTGTGTGCTGCAGGCGACATGTGAGCCAACTCAGCTTCTGAAGGTGTCGGCCCGAAATGCGTTTTGGACGATTCCAAAAACAGCACTGGTGATGGTGGCAAGACATGTTGGCGTTGACGTGAACAGTGCCGGCGCCCTTCCGCAGATCGTCTTGGACATGGCAGAGAAAATCCTCGGCAAGCTCACGGATGCAGAGAAGCTGGAAATTTTGCGGAAACGCATGCCCAAGGTGGACGACATCCAGGAGTTGCTCATGGACCTGGAGAACCTGGACGAGCTGCTGGATGCCCACGACCGCAAGGACATGGAAAAGGACATGGAAGCCCAACAAGCTTGCTCGCGTGAGTTCTCAAGCTCTGTCAAGGAGTATGCCAAGAAGGTCAGAGATGCTCAGCCGAAATCTTCTGCAGGTAGACGTTCTCAAAGCTCTGCGTCGCAGCCTCCAGCTAAGAAGCAGCGCAGACACAACGGCAAAATCCCTGAAATCGTGGAGAACATGGACCTGGAGCAGATGAACGCGCTGCTGCCGTCAACTTGCAAGTTCAGCATAGACAAGAGCGACCACTACTGGCGAATGAGCGCATTCGGTACACGGTACGGTAGGTCGTGGCAGTTGCATGGAGTGCACAATGCAGCTGAAGAGCTTTTGCGTTTGGCTTGGAGAAGAGCCATCGACGAAGGGTACGAGAGAGAGTGCCCATTTGCTGAGTTGAACATCCGAGCACCAGCATGAGATTACAATCGGATCATCTTGTGCTTCACTCGTGTTGACACTTGCACAGCAAGCTTTGTCTGTTGTTTTACTATGCTGCATCGCAGTCTGCGGCAGGGATCGCATTGAACACAGCTGGTGTTTGGTCAACAACCTTTTGCAGCGCTTTTCATGATTTGTCAAGCGCTGCCGCTTGCAGCAGAACGCCGTGCCTTTCACTGCAACGGGGGTCAGTGATTGTCAACGGTTGTGGCGAGCTCAGTCTGTAACGAACCATCTCGAGAGGGGCCCTTCGTGCCCATAGTGCCGTAGAGGACGCTAGGATTCCGTACTCTCTGGTGTTACTGATGTGTTCGCGCCTGTGTTCGTCAGTTCTAGCATTGTTTTGGGGAGGCCTAAACAGTGGTGGCGATCTCGGAATGTGCTCTCGCGCACTCCTGCTTCGCCCAAGTTGCCTAAACCACATGTGGTTTCCTTACCCCAAAGCCCATATGAGTTCTCCGCAGACAGGTCCTTGTTTCAACAAAACCTCCTAGACCTACCTTGGGCATTGGCCTCTCCAAGCTGTTGATGCCGAGGGGAGCTGTTGACATCAGCACTGCTTTCCAGATGAGATTCTGCACGAACGCAGGGGCTTTTTGAGCAACGTAGACTAAATTGGCATGCTTGGACAGCTGGCGGAGCCATATGGTTGGTCTCCTTTTCGTGCAGGAAGTCTCCATTCGCAGTGCCCTTTCAATTACTTGCATCGATGCAGCGCCGGAAGAGTGTAGACAACACGGGCATCTGATAGGCTTTGGGTTAGTCAGTGAGTCTTTCTGAGAAGGTAGCCGCCCCGAAGGTTTAGCCAGGGTTCTTAGATGTAATATATGTGCTCAACATGCGTGGTGAGAAGACCTTTGATTGTCGCATGACGGGTTGTGCAGCAATTCACGACTCCATACTTCGACAAACATCTTTCGTAACCATTGTGTTGAAGAAGTCATCGTAAAGTTTACGCCACGTAGACTCTTGAGAAGCTGTGGTTTCCAGAACGTCCCAACTTGGAAGGGCCGAGGCAGGCGGCTGAGGCCCAGAGCAGCGCACTAGGGCTTTGATTTAGCGGTTAAGTAAGTTGTTAGGAACCCTACCCTGTTGTTGGTTCTGGCCTGAGGGTATTTCCTTTCGACCACGGTTTAAATAGCGCAAAACTGTTTCCTGTTGGTGAAAGCAAGTCGCATCACCTCTCAGCTATATGAAGAACACAGCTGCAGATTCGTATTTCGAGCTGATTCCTGCTGTGCAACATACCCCATACGGGATTTCTTCATCCTGACAACACGTTCGGAAAACCACATAACAGTTGCGGCAGCAAAGCCGCTGGCCAACCTTGAAGAGGACATTGCACGATACGGCATGCGTAGTGTGAGTCAGCCTGAAAAGATACGCGAACCCCAATAACAAGCAGTCTCTGCCCCGCAGTCCGTAAACCGATGATGACACGTGTAGCCGCAAGCCCTTGTCTCGTTTCAGTGATGGCACTGTGGGTAGGCGGAAATCATTGGGCAAATTTGCTTATGTGCTTTTTTGGGCCCCTATTCTATCCACGTAGACGATGAGCTACTAGCAGGAGAAAAGGAAGAAACCATTTGGTCGGTGGAAGAACTGGAGAAAGTGTTCAAGGTGGAGAAAGAAGGACCGTATCCAGCGAATGGAGTAGGAAATGGAGAAGAAATGCGGTATCTCAAAAGGAAGTATGTCTTCACCCAAGAAGGAATTGTTGTCCAACCGAATGAGAAGTATGTTCGGAAGCTCGTTGAGTTGTATGACCTTGGAAAACTGAAGAGTAAGGCCA